CATTTTATTTTGAATTTTTTGGGAGTAATTCTTTCATAGGGCAAAAATCACGTGCTTACAGGTGCATCCACAACTAGGACCTGATCCTGAACTGGGGCAATTGGTGGATCTGCAGGTACTGCCCTAGCTATTGTGTGGGCTACACTTCTGCCCCTACCACGACCTCTACCGCGACCTCGGCCTCTCGCGGCCCCGACTGGTGGCACTGGTGGTTGTCTGTCCTGCCCAGTAGCACGTGTCCTCACCATCTGTGAGAGAATAGAATAACAGAAGTTTAATTACCAGTATCAACATAATCGCACGATAAGAATTTAAGAATGTGAAGTTTCCTAAGAGTTCTTCAGCCTCTTGAAGATAACTACAGATGTCTTCGTACCGATCCACAAGACTCTACTAAACTTGCTCATGACTCGTGAGACCTATGTAACCTAAGCTCTGATACCAACTTGTCACGACCCAAAACCAACTATCGTGATGACGCCTATTGTGGAACTAGGCTAGCCTCAACTCAACAACCCAATATAGTAAAAATAACTTTAAAAATATTGACGGAAGCAGTCAACATTAAAGAAACTATTTTGAAAACATAATAAATCCCAAAGCGTGATACAATCCAGCCCAAAACCGGTGTGTCACTTAGTACATGAGCGTCTATTCGGAATACCATCCACTACAAGGTCTAAAGAAAACAACTGAAAATACATCAAATGATAAAGAAGGAGTGTCAAGGCCCGCCAACGCAGTGCAGCTACCTTGATAGTCTCCGAACTCTGGGATCCTCAATCAGCAACCACCGCCGTAAACAGAGTCGCCTGGATCTGCACACGAGGTGCAGAGAGTAACGTGAGTACACTAACTCATTAAGTAACAAGTCCAAACATTGGACTGAAAGGTAGTGACGAACTCAACCGCAACAGATATAACATGAACAAATGTACAGAAACGTAGGCATGCTTTCAAGTTAAATAGACAGCTCAAGAAAATAAAGTAAATACAGATCTGAACAGTGTAAGGTATACAGCTCAGCTATCTCTACATGCCAATGCATAGACTGTATGAAATGCACATGTGCTCTCACTCTCAAGTGCTCAACTACTCGGTACTGTATATGGCCATCCGGCCCAGGGAAATCCATCCTGGAACATATACAACACTGACTATAAGTCACCCAGTACCGAGGAAAAGGGCAATCCAACCCTGTGGAGAAATCCATCTCCAGGTATCAAGTACTTCGGACAAATCCATGTCCCGGGAAATCCACCCCTCAATAATATCATCCGCGCTTACTGGGGGTGTGTTACAGACTCGAGAGGGGCCCCTACAGCCAAGCGCTATCATTATCATCAATATAACCACTGCGCCATGCAGCCCGGTCCCATAACTATCACTCATAACCAGGCTCTCGGCCTCACTCAGTCAACAACCTCTCCAGTCTCACTCACAAGCTCACAATGTCATGAAAACTAACTCGGAATAATGATATGATGAATCAATAAATAACTGAGACTGAGATATGATATAAAAATTCATGAACATGACTGAGTACGGAATATTAAAAAGAATAGTTAGATGACAGCAAGAAACGACAACTAAAGGTCCCAACAATACCGGCATAAAGCCTAAACATGATAGCTAGCATGATTTACAGCTCAATTACTTTATCACATGATGAAAACATGGATATCAATAGGATAGAGTCACTAAACGATGCCATGGAATCACCCAGGTCATAATTCTCACGGTGTATGCTCGCACGCTCGTTACTTGGCATGTGTGTCACCTCAATATTAATCACATAACACATAGTTTTGGGTTTCGTACCCTCAGAACCAAGTTTGAAAGCGTTACGTACCTCAAACTAAGAAAAATCTTACTCCGCAATGTCTTTGCCTCTCAAATCGGCCTCCAAACGTCCCGAATCTAGCCACAAGTAATACAACACAATCAATATAGGCTAAAGGGATCGATTCCACAAGAAAAACTACCAAAAATAGAGTCAAAATCCAAAATCAACTCAAACCCGACCTCCAGACACAAGTCTTGAAATTCGACAAAAGTCACAAAACCCGAAAGCCCATTCACTCGCGAGTCTAAACATACTAAATTCATCAAAATCCGATATCATTTGGTCACCCAAATCCCCAAAATCCACTGTCCAATTCTCAAGCCATAATCTTCCAAATTTCACCTCAACACCACACAATCTAGGTGGAAAAATCAATGGAGAAACTAGATTTATGATCAAAATCAAGCACAAGAGCTTACCTCAGAATTCCCCTCGAAAATCCTCTTCAAAATCGCCTAAGCCCGAGTCCAAAATGTTAAAAATGGTGAAAAATCACGAAGTCCCGTTTTTATATGCTCTGCTCAGGTTTTTTCGCACATGCGGCTCATTTTCCCCATCTATGGAGCCGCATCTGTGGACCAAGCTCCGCTTTTGCGGAGAATCACTTAAACACTGCCTCCGCTTCTGCGATCTAGAGACCGCATCTACGCTCATCGCATGTGCGGATGTCACATTGCACCTGCGGTCCAAGCTAGCACCTGCGCCCTAAAGTCTGCTTCTGCGACCATAGCAGGTGCGAGAATTCCATCGCATCTGCGTTCTCTGCCTAGATCTTCCTTAGCCGCATCTGCGACCCTTTCGTCATTTCTGCGGGCTCGCACCTGTGGTTCCCACTCCGCATGTGCGGTTACACCAGTAGCAACAGCATTTCAGCTACATTTCCTCAACTCAAATCAAGCTGTCAACCATCTGAAATCACCCCGAAGCCCTCGGGACCATAACCAAACGTACCAACATGTGCTATAACATCATACGAACTTAGTCGAACCTCCGAATCACTCAAAACAACAGCAAAACACCAAATTACACCCGGATTCAAGCCTAAATAACTTCTAAACTTCCAAATTCCACAATCGATGTCGAAACCTACCAAACCATGTCTGAATGATCTCAAATTTTGCACACAAGCCAAAAATGACACCACGAACCTACTCCAACTTCCGGAAATTCAATCCGACCCCGATATAAAAAATTTCACTGCCGGCCATAATCACTAAAATTCTAACTTTCGCCAATTCAAGCTTAATTCTACTACGGACCTCCAAATCACATTCCGGAACGCGCTCTTAAGTCCAAAGTCACCTAAGAGAGCTAACGGAACCATCAAAATTAAAATCCAAGGTCGTTTACACATAAGTCAATATCCAATCAACTTTTCCAACTTAAGCTTTTAATTAAGAGTCTACGTGTCTCAATTCACTCCGAAACCACTCCGGACCCGAACCAATTAACCCGGTATATCATAATATAGCTAAAGAACACAACAAAAAAAAAGCAAGAAATAGGGAATGAGACTATAACTCTCAAAACGACCAGCCAGGTCGTTACATGTAAAGTAAAAGAATAGTTTTCTTTCATATTTAAGACGAAGAGAAACAAAGCGCTCCTTTGGTTCCACGTTAAAATTTCCTGCAGATTCATCTCCTGAAACAAAGTTTAAGAGAGGCCATTCAAAAATGATTAATTCACCTTTCAACTTTCTCCTTTTGAAAAAACCAAAATGAGGAAAGTTAAGTTCCTAATCCTTTCTCCATTTTCCAAACAAAGAAGAAACCACATAAACTATACCACGAAACAACCTTAGTACAACACTAAGGTTTTGACTCATGTTTCTCTTATACTGGGTGGTGTACCCTGTGAACCAAAACTTCAAACTAACCATAAATAAGCACAAGATGACGGCAAAGACCATTAAAACAAGAAACTGCACTCGACTCCAGACCCCAATTAAAATCCAAACCACCACAAAGACCAACAAATAAGACCCACAAGACACATTGCTTATATCTATCATATCTATAGGATCAGACAGAAACAATGAATACTATAAACCTTTCAAAAAGAAAACCCTGACCGACAAATAAACATTTTAATTCTTCTCAACAGCATTCTCTTCCTTCTTATCTTCCTTTTCCTCTGTTTCTGCAGAGGTTTCTTTGTCCTCAGCCTTGTCTTCTTTATCTTTGCTTTCAACACTAAGTTTTTCAATAAGTTCAGTAGCAGCAGCAGCAGCTCCTTCACTTTCTTCAGATTTCGTCTGTTGAGATTCAGCAATTTCTTCAACTTTTTCTTTGAAAGATTTGCAGTCTGACGACAAGATAAAAACAAAGTTATACTCTGGTTTTGAAGCACCCAGATGTAATGTGAAGAATTGCTCCAATTATCCCATATAACTCTACTCTACAAATCTTGAGTAATATCAGACAGTTGTCCAGTGTTGATTTAAGATGACTTGCAGCTTTACAGCCCATGCAAGGAATGTTAACAAGTTTAATGACTGTAACTCAAGGAGGTTGGAGCCATTAATCAGCAATCACTATAATACGGCATGGACTCAGAAATTGTGCTTTACAAGTCAAGAATATCTCAGGAAATTCATTTCTCATACTTGATTCATCAACCTCAAAATCAAATTAGTGAATAAAGATTGCTGTATGACATAACCCACTATCCAGAAATTTTAGGCTGCCATCGGGGAAAATTAGCTAGACGACTCCTGAAGATGCACTAGCAAGAGCGCAATTCAGTGCCGCATGGAGTGTGTGCCACATTAAATATGTTAATTACCATAATTCCGGCAAACTCTAATCAGTACCTAAACATGTAAAGTACCAATTCCCAAACACCATCCCTTAGGTCAACACAATTATGCTATCTCACTCTTTTTATTGGAGATTATTTACGCTATTTCACTCTTCAAACCATATCCCAGTCTACCTCCAAATAACAGAAGATATAAACTATTTGTCTCTACCAGACATAATTCTCTTCGTACTATCATATAACGCACCCTAACATTTGGACATTCTAAGCAAATGTCAGTTCGTACTAGAAAGTAGAAAATCATGGTTTTACGCTCACTCCTCTTTTTTCCCTCTTTTATAAGTAATCTCACTCTAGATGTACTCCATGAAGTTGCAACAAAAAAGAGGTAGCACAGAACAACTACTACTACACATCAAACTCAAACTAGTTGGACTCATCAATATGAATCCTCTATATCCATTTCATTCGGAACCATTTTAATTCATTACTACTAATGTCCTTAAATACAAATTAGAGCACTCTAAACTAGAGGTTCCCCAATCTCAACACCTACAAAAGAGGTTGCATGTGATTTAACTGGTGACCCAATCTATGTGTTAACTTATTTCACTTTTCATCTGGCACTTGATAAATCACCTTTTGACGTAGAAAACGTAAAATAGCGTATGACAATTGTATCCAAAGGACTTTCGTGCTATGTTGCGCGGACTCTCCAAAATGTAGCCGCACCCGTGTCGGATCCTTCAAAAATGCACTACTTTTGAAGGATCCAACACGTATCCCGCTACATTTTCGGAGAGTCCGAGCAACATAGCTTTCATGTGGTAAGCACACATCAAATACAAAGAAGACAAATTACTCGAAAAGCATCTTTTAGCTAAAAGATGAACAATAAAATCCAGAAGATGCATAAACAGAGTACTCACTCTCAATTGAAGCAAAACGAATGCAAAAAGTCTCCTCTTTTAGCTCCCCATCAGCAAAATCAGCAGCATGCCACACGCAAGACTTCTCATTCCCAGCATGTTCTTGAATCGTCATAGCAGGAAGGACTACACAAACGATTATCAAACAGCACTTCAGAATAAATACAATCACAAACACATAATAGAAAAACAAAACAAAATGAGAAAGAAAGATTCTGACCCAAGTGGTTGGCGCAGATTTTCAGTGTCTTGGATTGTCTCATGACAAGCCTAACCTTTCCGGTTTCCTTGTGCTTGAGAAGCTTCACAGTCCCGGCACCTCTCTCTTTCCATGCATTCCCTTCCTTGTCAAATCTGTATAACTTTGACTTCCTACAATACCCACAAACAAATTTTTGTCACAATTACAATCACAAACATCCACAACCATCATTCTCTCTTTTTGCTTCGCAAAAGGGATAGTCCCCATATTTTTATGTATAACTCCATCCCTCCCTAAGAATGGGGTTTGGCAAGAATAAACTCAATTCACTTTCCTTGAACTTCTCGAATAAGATTACATACATAAAAATGGCATAAAAGGTAGTAATATAATTATGCATTATACTTAAAATAATTTTTTAGTCATGTGGTGGCATCATGGGCGAAGCCACCTTGAGCAAATGGCTTCGCCGAAAAATTACAATGTGTATACAAGTAAAATATTGATTTTAGATATATAAAACCTATATTGAACACTCTTTGTCGGAATTTTTTTTCTACTTCTTTCAAATTTGAATACCCTTGGAAACATTTCTGGCTTCGCCAATGGGTGACATGCTTTAACTATTCCACCCGATATTTGCTAACACTCAGCAACATAGGTACGAGATAACTCTACAAAAAAGCTTTTTTTTATACTTAAAACAATTTTAAAAAATATTTGAAATCACAATCAAATGAAAGAGTCTAAATGGAGCAACATGACTAGCGACCATTCATATAGCCGACCCCAACTAGATTGGTATTCAGACACAGTAGTATTTTATGCAATCTCGAAGAGCTTAGAGTTTTTTTTTTTTGGAAAAAAATAATAAACAAATCTATACTCTTTAAGTGGGGAAATGAGTGAAATAAAAGATTAGGGGATACTAACAGATCAAGAAGAACGTCTTCATTTTCTTCACCAGTGGAGACAGCAACTTCTTGCAGCTTCACAATTGGAGCAACTTGAGCACCAGTGTCTTCATCATCTGCAGCAGCGCTTGGGTTTTCTTCTACTACTTCCTCTTCTACTTCTTTCTTCTCCAATTTAGGCTCTGCACTGCTTGCCATTACTCGATATTATTTTGTTTTTTTGCTTCTGTGTGTGTGCCTCAGAACTTTTTTGCTGTGGAAAGATACGGCGGGGTGAATGGAATGGTAGGGTTTGAAGAAGAATGGAGGAGGACGTAGGGTTTTAGATTGAAGAGAACTTGCCTCTTTTTTTTTTGGTTTTTTGCTTTTTTGCGGTGGAAATTGTATTGGTAGTCCTCTAGGTTCAATTAAACTCATTTAGCCCCTTTTCAACCTTTATTTGTTTCTTTTAAGAAAAATAATTCTTGTGTAATTTACAATAACAACAATCCGGTGAAATTCACAAGTGAGGTCTGAGAGGATAATATGTATGCAGATCTTACTTTTACCTTATGAAATAAAGAGGTTGTTTCTGAAAAATTATTCTGGTGTAATTTAAGTATTCTTTTTTCTTACCTTTACAAATTACAACCTAATCGTTTAGGTAAAACTTAATTTGTTCAACATAATAGAATTCATCTCTTAATTCTTTTAAATCTATATTTATTGTTTCGATTAACGGAGATCAAAAGCATTAATGGATTGTGTTTAGCGAGGAATTGTTATTTGAGAATATTAAAGATATTGAGTGACCCGGTCAAATCATATTTTTGATCGAAAATTAAATTCATAAATTAAGAAATAACCAGCAAATACACACTTAACGTGTGGTATATTTTCATGAATAATAGATAATTATCTTCCTTAGTTTTTGATATTTTGTTAGTAAGCAAAAAATATTATCCCAAAAATATTTATATAGAATTTAGAGAAATACTAGGGAAAAAAGGATAGGTGGGTGGGTGGTGGGGTTCGGAGGTCGAGGTCGGTCTTGGGGCATAGGGTGGGCAGGGGAGTGATGGAAGGAATTGGTGGGTTGAGAGGGGGGAGGTGCGGCGAGGATGAGGGAGTTGGTGGATATAGGGAGGGGGCCAAGTCGCGGGGAGTGGGGCTGAGTCGGAGCCGGCGTGGATTATAGTATGGGTTGGAAGTGTTGTTTTCCCCCTCCTGAATTAAATGATAGAAAAATTATTTTTCTCGAATCGAGAAAAAAATGATAGAAAAAAAATGAGTTCATACGAAGATATTTTTTCAAATATCTTAGCTAACAATACATAGGAAAATAAAAAGATATTTTGTGGAAAACGTATTCCTCCACACAGAGGCGGACCCAAGATTTGGCAGTCGTGGGGCACCATGGCACTCAATAAATATGAGGGTCTATGCTAATATTCAACTATTTTTTGAAGACATTTGTAAGTATATATGGAGTGTTTGCCAAAATTTCTAGGTGCGGATGACTCCTCAACTTAACTTGTGCGCCTCTGCCTCCACACCAAACACACCCTCAATTGATTTTTTTTATTTATGTATGGGAATATGGGAGACAATTACTTTTGTGGAATTGGGTAAAGTTGTTGTCCTCGTTGAAAAATACTTCATAAGGAAACGTTAGTTTGTATAATTTTTGTTTTGTTTTGGTTCAAATAGTTTGTAACCTTTTGCAATGCCAATGATAGCCCTTGATGGAAGAAGTTCAAAGAGAATCCAAATTATCAAAGTAGCCCTTACAATCTTTTCTTTAACAAAGGGCGTATTACAGTTAAAGAAAATGTACATCTCAACTTAAAATTTAATGCAAAATGTAAAGACTTATTTGCATTGTAGAATGGGACATATATGTAAATATATCATGCTTAATTTGTTAATAAATGATTATATTGACCATATATAGTTAAGAACCAAAGTGTGAAACATAAGAACACTGGTTATAGCGAAGAGTGAAAGTATGAGATTTTATTGAATTCCTTTTATAACTTAAAGAATTGTACTACGTTATGACTTTATAATATTTCAGTTGCTTATATTTAATACAACTATATTTTGAATAGTGCAATATAAATTTAATCTTATTTGATATATCATTTTGGGTTAATTATCTAATTTTATCAAGAGATTTTGTCTTTCTTTTTTTTACATCAAGAAACCTAACGGAATTTTAGTTTGCTTTGAGCATTTGTAGGTATTAGATGAGATTAGGATTGGAAGATGGTGCATACAATTATAGTGTACAAATGAATATTTAACGTTAGGATTAAAGTTATGTGTGTATATGGTCAAAATCGGGCTCGCCCTTGCATGACTATCGAGAATAGAATATGATAGGTTAAGGTTCGACCTCGTATTATATCGAACCATGGTGCAAAATTAGATCGTCGAGCTCATGACCCAGAGACCGATCGAGATCGAGATCGAGACCAAGCAAGATCGAGGGAAAATTACCGAGCCAAATAACGGAAAGTCGAAATATCTGCAACCGATCTAATATCACGGCAGAAATCACGACATATATCAAGAAGAGACCGATTAATTAGCTAATCATGAGATTTCTTACCTCATATAGAGTTGTATCAAGAGTAGGACTCCCCTACTATATAAAGGGGGTCTGATCATTTGTAAGACACATCATATTCACGCAATACAAAGCAATATATCGTCATTTTCTAGCTGTCATTATGATGTTACTCTGTTTATAAGTCGGTTGAAACATCTTTTGGTTCAAGGGTGACTGAACTCAAGGGCCAAGGCAATTCAACTTGTGTAGTTTGCTTTTATTGTTTTATCGTCAATTTTAATATTAATCTATTCTCTTAAATTTGTACCAAGTTATATCACGTATCCTTAAAACCGCGTATAAATTCAATTGTTATCTGTTTTTAATGGTAAACAGTTTGGCGCCCACCGTTGGGCTAAGGATAATAGTGATTACCTCGTACAAACTTTCGTAGCACACTCTATTTTACACTTGTTCATTGAAGTATGTTTGATTACAGGACTAAAATGTCAAATCTCAGTCAACGCCTCTATATGTTGACAATAATTTCGACCATCACAACGAAAATGATAACATAACACCAAGGAACGATGTATCTCCGATTGGCCTCGATGGAGTTCCAGCTGTAGATCCAATTGACGTCAGCTCACATGTGGCCATCAACGGAAATTTGGTTGTCGATTCCCGAGGTCAGCGTCCATGGGGATGTTCGATCATCCGCTCAAAGCGCACAAGGCGATGAAGATGGCGGGATCAGCCTATGGGTGATTTTCGAAATGTTGCAGGCTCAGCAGGCAGTGATAGCCCCGCTCCAAAATCAAAATCACCCACCGAGTAGGGCCAAGCTCGAGCCGTCCCAGAAAGTTGTACACAGGGTCGAATCGGTTTCAAGAAAATCGAACGAGAAGGAGTCGGAGACCAATCCTGCAATCATGAAAATGCTCAAAGAACTGATAAAGCGAATTGAGTTGGGGGAAAGGAAGATTGAGGCAAACGACAAAAAGGCGAAAACTTACAACTCCAGGGTCGATCAAATCCTGGGGGCACCGCCAATATTGAAGGGACTGTTTCCAAAAAGTTCGTACAAAAACCTTTCCTCCGGAGCGCTGCTCCAAAGCCAATCCCCAAGAAGTTCCGCATGCCCGAGATTCCTAAGTATAATGGAATGACTTATCCGAACGAGCACGTCACCTCTTACACGTGTGTTGTCAAAGGGAATGATCCAGAGGATGACAAGATCGAATATGTCTTGCTAAAGAAATTCGGGGAGACCCTATCAAAGGGAGTATGATATGGTACCATAATTTACCACCTAATTCTATTTGCTATGCTTGCAGATTCTTTCATAAAGGCACACGCTGAGGCCATCAAAGTCGAAACCAGGAAGTCAAACCTTTTCAAGCTAAGGCAAAAGGACAACGAAATGCTCAGAGAATTTGTGTCTCGATTCCAAATGGAATGGATGGACTTGCCACTGGTCGCTGATAATTGGGATGTTCAAGCTTTCACTTAAGGACTCAATGTTCGAATCTCAGAGGCTTCACAATAGTTGAAGCAGAATTTGATAGAATACCCGGCTGTTACTTAGGCCAATGTGCATAATCGGTATCAATCAAAGATCAAGGTCGAGGACGATCAACCTGGGCCTCCTTCTCGGTCTGTTTATCCTATTAGACCCATCGATAAAATCAAGATGGATATTGACCGAGAATCGAGGTCGAACAGAGATTGATATCAGCTGTATAATGGAGATTGTAGGAGCAGTGGATTTGGGCGAAATTCTGCACGAAATGAAAGAAGAAATGATTGAGGTCAAAGCTCTCGGGGACTCATGAGCAATAACGGCTTCGATAGATCTATCGGACCCAAAGTGGCACCACGATTATCAGAGTACAACTTTAATGTGGACGCAACTGCCATCGTATCGGCCATTGGACGCATCAAAGATATCAAGTGGCCTCGACCTTTACAAATCGACCCAACACAAAGGGATACTAACCAAATATGCAAATATCATGGCACACATGGCCACATAATGGAGGACTGCCGACAATTGTAGGAAGAGGCAACCCAGTTATTGAACAATGGTCACCTTCGAGAATTTCTGAGTTATCGACCTAAGAATCATTTTAGAAATAAGGATTCCAATAAAGAACATGAACAAGACTAGCCCCAGCATGTCATCCATATGATCATCAGAGGGGTCGATGTTCCTCAAGGTCTGATGATAAAGTGCACCAAAGTACAACTACAAGGGAAAAACAAACTTGAGATTACATAGCAGAGGGAACTCTATCTTTCAACGACGAGGATGCAGAAGGATTCATGCAACCCCATAATGATGCACTGGTAATTTTTGTACTCTTGAATAAAACTCGAGTTAAATGTGTGCTAATTGATCCAGGTAGCTCGGCCAACATCATTCGATCGAGGGTTATAGAGCAACTCGGTCTACAGGACTAGAACGTACCTGCGGCCCGATTGCTAAATGGATTCAACATGGCTTGCGAAACTACTAAGGGAGAAATAACATTGTCGGTAAACATAGTCAGTACCACCTAGGAGACCAATTTTTATGTAATCGAAGGGGACATGAGGTACAATGCCCTGTTCGGGAGACCATGGATCCACAATATGAGGGTCATGCCCTCGACTCTTCATCGAGTATTACAATTTCCAACACCAGAAGGGATAAAGACGGTTTACAGGGAGCAACCTGCCGCAAAGGAGATGTTTGTCGTCGATAAAGTAATTCCAATATCAACACTCTCATTGACAAATGGCTCAGGGTCGAAAGTGAAACAGGAAGCCAAATAGCAAT